AAACGTTTTAAAGTTGTCGTAAGTATAGAAAATCGATAATGAAACTTTTCCCTCCCATTCCCTGTAACCCTAAATTAATGACGTCACCACCAAATTTCACCCGATACATCACACGAACCTGAAATGCGCAAAACAATACTTGTCATTCATCAACTCATTCATACTATTTTTTAATTTTTGAAGGAAATTTTGTATTAAATAGATATTAATTTCTTAACCTTACAACAAGTTTTCAAAAATTGTTTTATTATACAATTCGTTTCGGTTTTGTCATTAACATTCCATGAATCAACAATGCATTCAAGGCGAATACGATTCTACTTCTAAGAACAGCTAAAGTTGCCATAACTATTTTTTGTTTTTTTAAAAAAACTGGATAAAATGCGATATTTTCTAATGGAAAATTCAGATAATCCTATTGGTACTGGAGTCACCGTTTTAAAAACTTTGCTCCCAGTTTCAAAAACTTTCCTTTGTTATTAAATATTTTGTGATAAAAAAAAGTGTGTAAAAATTTGGTCATTAAACTTGTTGAGATAAAATCTTAATTTTAAGATAATTAAGTAGTTATACTTAATTAAATAATAAAATTAGTTCTTTTTTTTGAGCATTCTTTTTAAAAAGTAGCAACGATTTTAAAACTGTATCATTAGTTCATCAGATAATTACCTTTTTTCTTCAAAAATAATAAATAAAAAGAAATGAAATTATAAAAAAAATACCCCAATTTTTTGCACTTACTGTAATTAACTTTCTAAAAGATAATTTGATCCACTAATTTTATGATGTTGTGTAAAATTTAACCCATTTATGATTTCGCCACTTTACACCGACTTGTGCCGCCTTGACCTTCCCGTTTATTGCCTTTTTTGCTCGTTGTTTCTCCTTCTCCTTCCCAGAAACTTACACAAAGCCGAACATATTCCGAATAGTTTACAATGCCGTAGTCATTTAAATGGGAGCCGAGGCCCTTGCATAATCTTGGCATATTCAAAGGGTACTATCAAAAAATATAACCTTCGGAAATGAAAACCCCTGTCGTAAAATAAGGGTGCGGGCGTACGACGGCGTGTTCAGCATAACAAAGCCTAAATTTAGATACGCTTTTGCTTTTCGCAAAATACCCTTTTACTTTTAGGACCTAAATCTTATCTCTGTTTTTGCATATGCTCGTCTACGAGCCGGTCCATGACACCCTGGGGCAAACACCGGCATTTTAGTTACTCTTCCTGAAAACGTGCTTATATGCTTCCGTAACCGTAATTTATTGCTGCCTTTTTAAGCAAAAACAAAACACAAGCTGCCATGGAGGGGGCTGACTGGCAAAAAACTGCATTAGCGTGATGAAAATTAAACTTGTGCGGAATATTGTGCAAATTTAATAATGCTTGCAAATACTTATGACGCAAGAAGAAATAAAATATATACCTATAAATCAGTTATTTACCTATACAGGGTTGCGAAAGTTTTATTTACTAAAATTTCCCACCAGTTAAAATTTAGTTTATTACAAAAATTTTGCGTTATTTTATGGCAATTTATGTTTGCTACAGTTAATTAACTAAACACGCCTACAAGAACGTAGCCTTACTGCTCTGTCTTTTACTTAATATTTATTTTTAATGCAGGCAAAATTTGTAAAGAAACTTTAAAATGACGCCAAGAGTATCTAAGACATACCTACTTTTCTTCTCAGAAATATAAAAAGCCAATAGTGAACAAAAAAAAAAACAACTAAATAAAATAGTAAAACCAAATATCAAGCATAGGTATTTATTTAAAAATAACAGAGAATTAAAATTCCCGAAAGTGATACTTTATTCTAAAAGTGATAATTTCGAAACAGCTGACAATGTTTCAAAAAACAGTGTAACATTAGGTATATAGACTGAATTTCCTTGTCTCCGACGCTCTGAGGTTTTTTTTTTTTTAAATTCATGTTTATTTACTTATATTTAGTTCTAATATTAGCATAAAGACAAATTACCACCAGAAAATTTCTTATAAAAGTTTTACATTTTTGAAAGATCATTCTTTCTATGTACCTACTTATTGAAAATTTTGAAGTATTACGTACATATTTATTACAATAGGTATCTGATGCAAACAAACTGTTTCTCGTTATTTTGACTAGAAAATAATTGTAAGCTCTAGTGTTTGCAAAAATTTTGCAATACCAGGAAGGTTATTACTTAATTAAAGTTTAAGAACAAATGTGTGAGTTAATAAAATTTTGAATTTTCATTTCATATAGCATTATCTGAGGCAGTAATTCGACAACTGACTTAACTCTTAATTGTTTTCAAAATATTTAAAAAAAATTTTAATTTAGTGGTCTTAATAACTTGTCACACTATAGTTGTGCAGTGTTGGGAATTTTAAAACACACAACATCAAATGCTACAGCAATTAAACACAAGATTCGGCAACAAAACATTTTTAATGTGACATTAGAACAAACACCAACTAAAAAAACTGTAAATATTCATCATAACACGTAAGTTATTATTGTAAATTAAACGTTTAATTTTCGATTCTTTGAAAGTCTATGATTTATGTTTATTATTGTGCTTGAGCTAATACGCAAATTACAATTGTTCGTAAGAACTCATTTTGCTTAATGGAAAGTTTGTAAAACATTCCTCCTTGTAACAGCGATAATACCTAATCAAGGCTATCGACCAAAGGCAAATTTGCATAAATCGATAAGTGGTTATCGATAAAATCGCATGGCAGATTATTTACGATTATTAAGAAAATGCTGTAACACTTGTGTATTTTTCTTAATTTAAAACCTTGCTCTTTTCGAAATTGCTTCGTGTCCGATTTCTGATAAGTCCAACGTAAACCACTTTTGAAATAACTTAACTGGGGTATTAATTTAACCTCAAGATTTTGACAGGGCATAAAAAATCGAAATTTGTGAGTCGAATTTTTACATAAGATAATGTCGATACACCTGTAAGTTGAATTCAGCTGTTTTTTAATTCGTAATTAATCAGGTTTTGATCGGCGTAAATTAAAAATTTGAAATGTTTATTGGAGGATAATCTGTTGGCGATAGAGACTGTTTTGACGTGGAAGGTTTATGAATTGCAAATTTATGTTGCTCAAACATAGGAAGAATTTGGTTGTCAATTTCGAAGTTTCGTTCATGGAATAAATTTAACTAGGGAAATAAAATTAAACAAATGTCTGTGAAATATGGAATCGCATTACCAACAAATTAACGAAAGACCAACAATTTTTATGTTTTCTCGACGTTTCATTCCCACCCATAAACTATGAAATAGTAGGTTTCGCGTTTCCGTCTGTCTGTCGTTTGTGGCGATTTTTATTACAAAGATAATCTTCGATTATCCTCCTGTGCTGGTGGTTTATGAATCCGCCTTGATTTTTGTCACAATTATTTAGCAAAAATTTTGTTTGTACATGTGGTTCATATAGTTGATATCGCACTTCTGCATCAAATGCTTCGTAGTCGAGTGGGGTTGATGATTGATCGGACTTGTGCTGTACCGAGTGTACATTTTTTCTCGTGTTATTATATATTTTTTTTACTCATAGGGTTTATCATAAAACAAATACAATTTTGCAAAATTAAGCATACGTAAATAGGATAATTGGTACCTACTAAAAAAAATCAAAAGTGCATGTAAAAGTTATCTACTAGGTAGGTACATCATTCCAAAAAGTCGTACGAGGTACATTATTGTTAAAATATAGATATAATAGGTATACCTATAAGTTAAAAGTTAAGAATTCTGAGAATTCGAGATCATTTTCATGTATTTGTTTTTTACTTATCTCCTAAACGCTTATCTAATTTATGTTAGGTATATTGTATAGGTAATAAGTTAATAACGAGAAATATTAACTTCAATAATAGGTATTAGGTAAATGAATATCTATTGATGACCGCCACATACCTACTTACTTATTTACTTACACACTTTTTGATTTTTTGCTTACTATGAATTTGGATTCATTTTCTTAGTTAATTTTTCAGTAAAATTAACTAAGTATACCTATTTTTAAATAAAAAATTCTCCATGAAAAAAGAAGCCTATAAACTCTGATCATTATTAATATCTGCGACAACAAATTTAATGATTTTACCAATTTTATTATAAAGAGAATTATTTGAACATTTTAAAAATTTTGAAAAATGATTCTAGGATATTATCTAATAAAGCGCAAATATTTCCAATAAATACGTTGATTAAAGGTTTTGTCGCTTTGATTAAAAGTATACATTAGGTTGCGACTGTTAAGGCCTATTTGAACGTTTTTTAAATAGAATTTTGTTTACTGAATATGGACAACGTTATTAAAAAATTCGACAAATCAAAATTATAGACCAAAAATTTTCAAAATTGCTGAAAGGAATATTTTTATATTTTGATTTTTTCACAGACTAAAGTTTCTGATGATATTTGATTAAACATTATAAATAATATGAAATATAATTTTCTAAACAAATTACTTTAGCACATCATTTCGACAGATTTATAGCAATTTTTAATGCGACTGTAAACTATAAATCACAGTAGTCCCCTCTTCGCCTAACTAAATTAGTAAATCATAATGTCCAAACAAACCCAAGCGTGAAAATGTGAAAATAATTGCACGATTCTTTAACGATGTGAATAAACCTAAAAACTTAAAAAAAATCAACTAGTTCCCACGTACGCAAGGTGCTTAACCCTTTAAAAAAGATGAACATATTTTCACATACCTGAAAAAGCGGTCATTAATTAAAACGTTGATGGAAGAAACATATTCGAGACAGAATAGTAGAGATGCCAACGAAAATAAAAATATTCCGGGCGAATGCATTAGATAGTATAGTTAATGAAGCCGGTTGACATATACGAGTTCTGAAACCAGAACCGCGGCTGATAAAACCGGCTGTATCAGATAAATATGTCAACAAGGACTCCGCCTTGCCTTTCCAATTACCGAGATGTGGCCGCAAAAAGAACAAAATGTCTACTCACCTAAGATGGCTGGCCAGGCAGATGCGAGATAACTTGCACGACGTCTTCTTTACTCCATGCTTGTTAGTTGGGGGATCTGGAATTTTTCAACCTTTAATTGCTTTTTGCTAAATTAGTATCGTATATTATGGGAGATGAGGCTTAATAATGCTGTTATTGGAGAGGCTAGAGGATGTGGTCTGAGGCCCAGGGGCTTGATGGACTCGTATGGTGGTGGGCGACTGTAAATAACAAGGAATATTTGGATTTGGACCAGCTATAAAGTCTGGAATTGATCACAATTAAGCGGTGAAGTGGTCTATTTATGCCAACTACTCTGTGTTTGTTGTCGCTTGTGTTCAAGAGGCTGCACATAAATTGACGACCAGTAATTTTTAAAGCTTTCCGCATTACCTCCGAGTTGGCATTGAAAGTGTGTAGCTTTTGAGCCAGGAACTGATTTAAAAGACCACCAAAATGTTTTAGTTCTGACATTGTGTTATCGAACGAAAGTAATGTGTGTGTTCGAAATTACGTTACCTGTTTAAGACAGAAAATATTACTTTTCACTATAAAAAATATTCAGTTTAATCATTTCTGAAGATTGGTCCTAAGTTTTTTGAGAAATAATTGCCATGGTTTTTCGGGGTTCTGCAATTTTTAATTTAATTTTAATTTTTTTGATGCCGGTACAGGTTCATGTATTTTTTGTGAAATGTTATTATTAAATACGTAACTTTCTGGAGAGTATGAATAAGTAGGCTGTTTTGGTAACGTTTTGTAAGTCTAAAACGAATTTTATTGTTCTACCAAGTCTGATACAGTTTATTATGATGTTCATGGGACATAATCAGAAAGTAATAAACATTGTTCTAACCTATTAGACAGATTATTAATATTTTTTAAATAAAATAAATTGCTTAATATATCTACTTATTCGTTGTTTGGAACACAATTTAATTAATAAGTTAATTTTCTTTAATCACTAAAGCAACGTTAGTGTTAGATATACCAAAATTAAAAAAAAACCTACGTAATTTCTTATGTACCTTTCTATACCTACAAGTGTCCCCGTTAAAATTTCACGGCTTAGTATCTTGAGAACCGACAGCTATATTAAAATTTTGTAAACGCCACTGTTTTTAGCTTGAAGGGGAAAGCTTAATTTAGTACATTTCAACTATGAAGCATACCTACATACCGTGAGGTTATATCTACCTATATTTTTTTAAATTGCAACAAATATTTGTTTAAAAGATTTTGACAGGCCGTTAAACTACGATTACAATGATATACAACACTATGATATTTATTTCATTTTCAATTGAAAAACAAAATTATAAACATAAAAAAAATGAGAGGTCCTAAGTGAAACAAATGGACTATCACCATTTGACGACAGTTCGAACATAGGGTAAATGTGTACAAGAGTGCGAATATGTATAAGAGTACGCACTGATGATTTCTGCTTATTAGTGCCATCTGGGTAAGATGAAGTTATACCATTCAGAATTTAATGCTAAACCTGAGATAAAGGTGAAAAAGTCACCTGAATATAGTTTATAGTTTGGTCGTACTGACGATTTTATGTTCACACGTTGTGCGGATGTAATTTTTGCCGCTCATAGTTTTAGTTTTTTGTAAGGTACGTACCAGTTCTTTTATTTTACAGTAATAATTTTCATTAGTTGTAACTTTTAAAGTCTCGTTATACACTAACAGTTTTATACTTTCTATCCATCAAAAGCTTTTAACTTTGAAAACATTAGGTTATGTACAAATGTACAAGAGTGCGCAGCGAGGTATTGTATAAGAGTGCCCATTGCTTGCAATACGTAGTCTAATAGTCTTGGAGATACATATCATACGATAATGAATTATTTAACTCTACTACTTTGTACTGCTTCTCAAGTTGTGTGGTGGTGGTTATGGTGATTTTTTTTTTATTTTTACTTCCTGAACGTGTTGTAATCGAGTCCGTCGACCGAGTTTCTATTTTTACGTTTTCTCGACTTTTCAAGACCCCTAGAGTACGAAGAAATAGGTCTCCCGTTTTATGTGTAGTCTGTAGTCACTTATTCCCATTTATTTTCACCTTAGAAACAAATATTTTTTCATAAAATGTAATGCGCACTCTTGTGCAATGAACTGTCTAAGAGTGCGCATTTACACATCTTGACAAAAATTGAAATTACTCTTAAAATATAGTGGTCTTGGGACGTACAATTAAATATATCTGGTCTCTGAACATGTATATAACGAACCCATATCATAAAATTTGTCTATCCCAAAAAATTAAAAAGTTGTTGATAGTTTTACACTAAGTGCGTACTCTTGTACACATTTACCCTATGCTAATATAAATGCTTTTGAAATAGATTGTACTTGCTAAGATAAAACTGATTTTGGCAAATGCCATACCCTTCAGAAAATAGGGGGCAAATCTAAAAAATATAAATGCATTGATAAATTACAAGGATAGACTGATCATATTTTTTACATTTTAGAAAGGATTTATGCGGCAAAATTTTGAAATGGGGTTGATCAACAGATACACTTTGATTAAATGTTACTATGATTACATGGAGCTTAATCTTAGTTTTTTTTTAATATATAGAATTTTCGTACAGCAACAGGATAGCTAAATATGTTTTTAGTTTCTTGTTGGGAAAAGAAGACTTCGTATATTAAGAAAAAACGGAGTAAATAATATTTTATTCATCCTGAGCTGAAGGGCGGAGTTTAGCTGCAAAATCCTCATTTCTCTACAAGAGATTACCATATGAAATATGTTTTTAAAAGGATAGAATTTTTTAGAGAAATATTGCTATTAGGTAAGTATTAGGCAAATTATTCTACATTTTACATAATCTATTTTTAATTATTATCTAATCTTGAAACTCTAGTTTAAGATTTTCATCCTCAGGTATGCATGCTATGCTTTATCTACATTTGCAATGAGATCTTAATACTATCACGAAATAATAGGTAGGTACCACTATTTTTTTTAGAAGGCATGCACATATGTTAATTTTAAAATACCCCGTAAATACATTGTTAACTATGTCTATTCAATAAAATTCGCATCTTGTATGTAGTTAACTATTAAGTTAACTAGAATAAATACATAATTCTATGAATCGTAACACTTTCTACAATTTTTATTTAAATGTTTCATTGTTCGTAATGAAATTACAAAAAGTGTTGACATTCTTAGTTATTTATGGTAGTTAATTAAGACTGTTTGGAAAGTAACTCAAATGTATATCGATTTTTATTTATTTATTTTTTTAAATGGGAAACGTATAGGTAGATAAAAATGCACACACAAAGTGATTCTTAATACTTTCTATTTTTATTCACATTCCAGACTTATTTTCGTTCTTTGATACTGTTAGATATGTTAATTAGATAGTCATTAATCTCATTTCAGAAGCACCCTCTGGAGGCTACATATCGTTAAAAAAAATAATCAATTCTTACTTAAAAATTTCGAAATAGAACAAAAAGACTCAATTCGATAAAGCGTAAGGTACCAAAAAATTGTACTGAAAATTTCAACATTTTTGTTTGACTTTTAGTGCCATTTTTGAGGTGGCTGTGTGGAAGTGTAAACCCTCTGAGAATGAACTAATGAGCTAAATATTATCAAAAGCTAGTCATAACACATTTATACTTAATATTGCATTTGAAATGATTATTGGAACACATCATATAGGCACGTACAGCACGCACATAGATACACAATAATATACATATTAATTTTTATACCAAAAACAATAAATTATTCATTGATTGATAAAGCTTTTTGCGAATGCCGCTGCTATTATTAAAAGTTATTTTAAGCACAAAATGTACCAAACCATTTTAGATAAAATTACGCCATTCCAATAGCCAAAAGCATTTTAAAATAAAAATTAAATTTTCTGTAGCTTTCCACATTCACTGTATTTATTTTGCGTTACTTAATAAAAAGCCTAAAAATAGACCTTCATTTTGTTAAGTGTTAACAGAAATGTACGCTAAGCCGGCTTTTATTACTCTTTACTTAATTAAAAGCTTTTGTTTGCGTCACTTTAGTTTTAATTTCACACTTAAACAAATCGAATTTTATAGACGAATACCATTTCAACTCTGTTATTCAAACGTGAGGAATGTATTCGGTAAGACTAAATATTATACCGGTACCCAGAAAGAATACGTTTTTTAATTAATAATGTGTTGGTAATTTAATTCCGTCGGACGGGAAATCTTCTTCGAAATCGTTAGTGACAGAAATGTTAAATTGGATTTGGAAAAATTTATGACGACAATTAAAGGGTGACCTCGTTTTATTGACGGAATTAAGATTAGAAATCAATCTAGTAATTTACCTTATCGCTCTGTTGATGAAAGATGTAGTGATATCTAGTTATTAAATGGATGCGATTAGATAAAAGAAATAAAAAAATTGACTGCTAATGAAGCAAAGACGTTTCGCCTGTTCAACTACCTTCATCAGAATTTTAACAAAGTAGCTACAATTGCCAAGCTTGGATCAGTGCGTGTATCAAAAATGTCGAAATTTCTCGACTCGCAGATGACAGCTATAAAAAATCAAGAATTTAATCTCCGCATTTTACGATTCAGAGAGAATTTGTTAAACTAAATTCTATTTGCATATGCATGAGATTCTGATCCAAAAACGAAATATTTTAATACAAATTACAATAATAACTGTGAGCTAAACGGCAAGAATTCCAGATAACTCGGTTTATTTTAATAAAGCTTGGTTAACCGAAACTAAAATATAATAAAAGCTGCAAGTATCTAAGAAAATATCGTTTCAGTAAACAAGTGGAACCGAGTGAAGTGCCTTTTTATATTTATTTTTATCGGGGAATGCCTTACATGTTGTCACGCCTTACTGACATAAAATTGTACTTATTTTAGTCCACGTTATCTGTATACGTGCAGACCGTTTCACATTCTGACAACACGTTTACAATATACAGAATATAATAGTTGTCAAGCTCTGCAATAATATTGTTAAGTTTATGTATTCTCGCCGCACCTTAAGAGCAAATATATTTTTAATTTCGCCTTCAAGGTTATAAA